AGGGGGTAGGGGAATAGGAAGCTTGCAACCTGGAGAAAAAAATTGAAGGACTGAAACTTTCTAAAAGACCAAGCCACCATCTTCACAATGGATTCCTCAAGTAAAATCTTGTATTTTCACAAAATCATATTACTTGAATAAATGGTCATAGTTGAAAAACAACTGGGCATCAGACTGCTGCTACATGCAGTAGGAGCTGATAGGTCTCCTAATTTGGGAAAGGCAGCTTAGGTTTGGTCTCTGAGAGCCAGAATCTCTGCCTGCCATGGAGAACATCTGTCAGGAGTGCCTATCCATCCCAGCGGCTGGCGGAAAGACCAATGACCTCTGAGATCACTTCTAGCCCTGTCTGATTCTGTGAAAACAAAACTATTCCCAAGGGGGTGGCAGGGACAGCTGCCTGCTCAGGACAAAGAGCTGAGCCTCCAGGAGCAGCTGCTGCAAGGAGTTTAGAGGAGACAGCACTTTCTAATATAATGGCATGAAATGACAGATGGCACCTTCCACCCTGCCATTATAGGGAGGAAGGATCTGCACACGAGGGCTTCCTGTTTTGCCATCCTCTATTAGGTTGTGTTGGAGAGGATTAAAAACAACTCTCTGAACTTTCAGTCAAAGTGCTTGTGCAGCTGAATTAGATTAGAATCACCATGCTGGCATTTTGTTACATAAAAGTAGCTGAGTAACAATGAGAGAAGGGAGACGTGATCTCTGCATGCTTCTGATACTGTTCTGTCAGGGACATGACTTTTTTTTTTAACTGATACAATCTGTTCTGTTGCACAATACTCAAATTATTGTGGGAGGAAGGTGCCTTTCTTGCTGTTGGCATTTTCTTTCAATGTAGGACCTTTAAACAGAAAGAAGCCGCACCATTTCATACATAGATAAGGCAGAAAATGCACAGGCTGTAGGAACTGGTTTGACCTTCCCTCTCCTTCCATCTGCACACATATAAATTTACAATTTACATAAAACGCACAATTCAGTTAAGCAGAAAACTATTTTAGGGAAAAATCCACTTAAAGAAGTGCAAAATCCATTTGAAAAGATGAGAGTTGTGGTACAAACTAAGTCTTGTCATGTGGTTGTGTAAAGAAATGAATACCTGCCATTGTGTTCATCCACAGCAAAGTTAATTTGCTTCTCTAAAGAAAAGGGTTCAAATCACCATTCCTGAAAAAATTCTTCATGAATCATCAGTGTTTTATTTTCATTTTGTTCCCTCCCAGGACAAAATGAGTAAGAGATGAATTGTGCTTTCCTTGCCATGCAACCCATCTGCCATTTTCACACTGCTCAGTAGGATAAATGTCCTTAGAGGGAAACAAATTTGGACAAATTTATGAGGTGTACGCTCAATGTAATACATTCTCTTTTGGTCCCTATCGTCCAAAATCCAAGACATTTTTTCTGGTGCTGGGAAGTGGCATGTTATTATCCAGTGGATGTTCTCAATGGGAAATGTTTTCTTCCTAGTTATTATTACACTTCTGTTGGCTTTTGATTTTCAGTGATCAAAAGAATGCTGTAGCCCTACTGAGAGCAAGAGAGACTATCTCTACTGTAGCCAAGACATGATACATGTGTGGCTTTGATGGTTAGAACCAAAGCTTTATTCTGGATGAGAAGTGAGAGACCAAAGAAAGGATCAAAGTTAAGGAGTGATGCATGTATGACAGTGTCAGATGGGCTGCAGCTTGCCTGGCAGGGAATCACTATAAAGGCAACACCCACAGATGCTTACAGAGTGGATATGCCGTTCTGAGGAAGGAGTGCAAGGTGAGTAGAAGTGCTTATATGTTGCTGAGGTCTTGTTTTCTTGTTTAAATCTGTGCAATGTTATTGAATTTGTTTACTGAAAAGACACCAATGGTTTGTAGCATTTTTTAAGAAATATTTTTCTGCAAAATGTACCAGTGCTTTCTACCTCAAAGTCTCAAACTGTCAAATAAAGTACCTTATTTTTTCTTTTAGATAGCTGAAAGTAAGATCAGCTAATGTGCGAGTTCCCTTTGCTTGTTTTTTAACTAACTTCAGATTTATTTTGGCACACAACAGCTGCAATAACTTCAAAATCATAATAAGGGATCAGTGATTTGCTGTATATATTGCTAAGTCTTCAGATGTGTACGTTCCAGAACTGCATGCCAGCGAGGGTCAGAATTAAAGCTTCCCTTAGTATAACAAAGACTTTAAACACATCACCTTTAATATTCACATTCTCTGGCTCCTGGCATGTCTGTTTCATATCTGACATTCACAGTGTTGACTGACTCCTAACAACCTGCAGCTGAAAGGACTTAATGCTTTTCATCTTTCTAAGCAGACATGAACAAATTAATCCTCCCCCAAATCCTGTGATGGTGGAGATAGAATCATTTTATGGAGCCATGCAAGCCATATATGACTTGCTCAAGGTCACAGCACTGCTCGGTCTTAGAGCCAGGATTAGGATTCAGGTCTTAATTCAGGTGCCCAGTCCTGTGCTTAGAGAGCCATGGCACGCACTTCTGTGCAGCAAAACATTTCTTCTGCCTAAATATGTCCTCAGAATTACAGTCAGAGATTGGAAGAAATCAAGGGGATCATCTGGATTTATTTCAGCAGCAGCCAGCACATGTAAAATCTCTTAAGTTCACACTCTTATGCTCCTATGTAAAGGAATTTAAACCACATTTTTACCCAGGGGAAAAAAACCCAAACAAACCCAAACAATAGCTATTATTCTAATGAAAAGCAATTAAAACATCATTAGCAGTATTCCTTAGTTGCTTTGCAGACCTGTCATTTGTCTACAGAGAGCTCAAAAAAAGTTAGGACAGCAGATTAAGATTTTATGAAGCTCCTTATGTTCATATCTTCTTTCTTGCCACCTCAGAAATACAGTAAGCATTACTGGAAAGACTAAGAAGGTCAGAACAGCTAAGAGGCAGGAGACAAAATGGGAATCTTGTTATATATACCTTCTTGCAAATTTTAACTGCAGAAACCTGAGTTTCAAATAATTCATAAACAAAAATCCTATTGATTTTTAGCAGTGGAGGAATGTATTCATTCTCTCTCTTGCCACATGAATTTTTGCAGAGCTCAACAAGATTCAGAATAATCCTAGCTTGTGGGACTACTTAGATTTTTAAAAGATGTCATCCTGAAATAATTTGAATTTTATAGCTTTTGTGGTTGTATCTTGAACTGACCTTGATACCAAGTCACCAAAACAAATATTTTGTGATCTGTTTTTCATTACTAATTTCATTCTCACATTTCTCCAAACTGAAGATGGATGTTCATTTTTAAAAGCTTGGATTTGTGATTTAAAAAAACAAAAATTAATCAAAGAACACATATGTAAGAGTGTCTGTGTGTTCCTTCAAGTTTTGAAATCAACAGTGGTTTCCTCATCAACTCCAGATTGGCACTGCAGTGCTTAATACCACTCGGCTGGGGAGTGCTCAAGGAATGCAAAAGCAGGCAAGCCCCTGAGAAACAAGGGCCTGCTTGTTTTATGAGAAATCAGCTAATAGTTTTCCAGTACAGATGTCCTGCTTTACTTTCAGTTTGGTGAAGAGTGGGGTAACAAATGGCAGCTTATATGCCTCTGAGATAGGGCTTGTGTGGAAGAAAGGGCTCCCTTGTCTGTATGTGCAGGAGGGCACAAGGGTGGTAGCCCTTGCACCAGCAAAGCCTAATGCAGCACGGACTAATGCAGAATGGAGGGAGCAGCTCTGCTGTTGCACAGCTCTTCCTGTTCACTGACTAATTCTATTACTGTACAATTGCTAATTCTGCCTTATAAGGCAGAATTTTCAAGGCTGTAGTGCAAACCATTGAAATAACGAGGTTACTGGTATCTTTTCTAGGGAAACCCACAGACTTTACTGCTTGGAAAACATCTTTTGCTATGTCATGTTGTCACTTAGACTTTTACAGAAATGTCTGCAATTAATACTACTCTTCTTTCATGTTCATCATTTTTAAACTTGGTAGCAGGATGTTTTTATATTTGCTTCATGATACTCATAAACATCTATACCTTGTATTTTCTTACGTATTTTTCTTGAGATGCTATCTCCTTAGTTTTTACTGCCATCTTAATTTTGTGTAAGTCTGCCAGACTCCTACCTTCTCTTTTAACCCTCCTTAGCTTTTACTCTAATTCTCCAATTTTGCATATGCTAATTTCTAAATACTTGCTACATGGCCTGCGGACCTACAGGAGTTCCCAGCTCCCACTGTGCAATCACTGAGCCATTGCTCAATCCAAGTCTCAGTAACAGCCCTGGTTTTTCTGTGCAACACAGTTCTGAATCTGCTCCATAGGCCACAATACCCCTTCTGATTCTAAGCAAAACTCAAAATTGAGTTTCTATAGGTTCACTTCCAGGCAGCTGTTTTTTTAACTGAAATAAATCCTCTCCTATAACTTAATGAAACAGATTATGATACATAGAAAGGGCTATTTGCCATCCATATTCCACCACAGGTAACTGTTTCATTACAAAAAGCTGACAAAAAAGAGTAAAAGCAAGAGAGATGTGACAGTTTTAAACAGGTAGAAACTTAAATAGTCTTGGTTCTCTCTGAAGCACTATATGCTTTCAAAAGCATAAAAAATGCACTCATCTGCCCCCCTCCCCCAGTGGGTGTCCTTAAGCTCCCCCTAGATTTATGAAATATTAGTGTATTTGTCATGTTAGTTTTGGTAAAGGAGTAACTTTAACACCAAATAATGCTGAATGCCCTACATTACTAATGATGCCTCTGAAGACTGAGAACCTGTACCACACCTGCTTTTGTTCCACAGCTCTGTAGCTTTTAATTGTCCTCTCTTGCTTCAAAATTGTGTAAGGGCAGCGGTGGCTCCTGGCAGCATTACAGAGTGCATAATTGATACATTATCAGTGTATGTGACAAAATAAGCAAACACTGCTTCTTTCAGAATGTGTTCATGTCCATTCTAGGTGTTCTGGAAAAAAACCTCAGAAAATACCCGAAAACAGTTTTTAAAAATTCAAAATCAAGTTTAATTTAGGAAGACTGTTCTCAAATAAAATTTATTTACATTGTATTTACAATTTTGCTGCTGACAAAATCACGTTTACATATGACAACCTGCATTAGTTACACTGAAATGGGCTCCACTCAGCCTCCAGACTGAAACCACTGCCAGTGCCAGTCTGGATGTCAGATGCTCACCAAAGCTGCTCTGTCACTCCCCAGCTAGGCACTGGAGAGAAAACAAACAAAAGGGCTCATGGGCTGAGATAAGGATGGGGAGAGTTTAGTCACCAGTTACTGTCATGGACAAAACAGACTCAACTTGGGGAAATTAATTCATTACCAATCAAATTAAGAGTCTCCCATATTTAAAAATGTTGCAATTGGGGTTTCTTGCTTTCTCTGACATGCTCAGGAAGTTGCAAAGTGTAACACAAACAACAAAAGTGCTGTCAGCCTTTGATTTAATAAAAGAGAATCAGCAACCATTTGCTTTTCTGATCAAATAACTTGCATAGCATGGGCAGTTCCATCAGACAAACATGTTTGATGTCTTTTGTGGTCATAATCTAGACTTACTCTAAACCTGTTGGGAATTAACTTGAAGATGTTGCAAAATGTTTTTTGATTAATTCTGGAAAACACAGACATGAGACAGCATCTGAGAAAAACAAAGAATGGAAGTAATCCCTATGGACAGTACAGCCTTCCAGAACTCAAGCAGGAGAGTTAAATATTGGATGGGATGAATAGAAACTGGTCTGCACAAAAGTGGGTTTGTGCCCTTTTTACTGTCTTGCAGACATTGATTCTATCAGTTCCTTTGTGGGCCACTTAGCTCTCCTTTAGCCTGCTGAGGAAGAAGGTGCAAAACTTCTATAAATGTTTCTTCATTAATTTAGGCCTAAACATTTTTGTTTGTTTTATTATTCTTAAACTACTACTCTATTGCTGAATGGCCTCATGTTTCGATTTTTGCTTCCACTCAATGTGCAGCCAGATGAAGACTGGGTGTGGGGAATGTGACTTAAATTCAGAAGAAGCAGTATCCTGAACAGCCCTGCATGTTGGGGGTCAGTCCTTTCACTCTCCCTTCAGCTTTCAGAAGAAAGCAGCATTTATGAGATCACACAAAATTTCAAGTATTTATGAGATTACCTAAAATGTCAAGCCAGTTTAAAACTATCATTCCTAGAGATTACTCTAGAAGTAGATATTTTATTATTTTGGATTGTTAACACAAACATTCCAGAGAATGCAGCTTGGCTTTCCCACTGTAGTTTCACTCTGGAATACTTGCCTTTTCTCTAATAAACTATTTGCAAATGTTCACTTTTCTCTTTGAAAATCTGGTTTTACGGAAATATAAATTTTGGCTTTTTCATTTTTTCCACTGACTCCCTTCCTCTTAAGGGAACAATTCATCCTCCTCTCTCTGCCAAAATGCACTGATTGGTAGCAGGGCTGGGTTTTTTAGTGTACCTTTCTTCTTAGAGCCACAGTGATACAGCCAGATTTGTAAAACTGTTAGGATAGTGAGACATTCGTGTTTTTAATGGGAAAATAAACAACCTAAGGCTAAATTTTTATGGCTCAGCACAGGAAATAGCCAAATTTCTAATGCTTTTTTGTTATCTATCACCTTCTTTATCCCTATGAAAACAGTGCTTTCGGAGCCTGCTGGCAGAGATCATTCTTAGAAAATTATTATCATGTTGTTGGTATTTCTTCACTGGGCTGACATTTCAAACATCCCATCCCATTTTCTGGAACAAGCAGACCACACCATTTTCCAAAATTAATCCAAAGAAGATGGCAAACCAAGGGACTATTCGGTTCAAGTTCAACGTAACTGCAAAAAAAAACCAGAACAAATTTATCATGTACCATTTAAGAAGATCACAGAAATCATATGAGAATTCATATTAATTTGTGTGTATTAGAAATCACACAAATTTGTTAAAAGTCTGCATTCCAAAGACATGGACAAAATTAATATGAAATTTTCATTTTTCAGAAACTCAAAAAAAAAAATCTATTCTCTGTTTCAATGATCCATGAGTTGCCTCAAATTGTAACAGATGGATCTGGTGGATATAATACTATATATACAAAGAAACAATGGTGAGATAAGAGGTACTTTTTTTCTTCCTTTTTAATTTTTTTTGTTTCAATCACTTTTTATTAAAGTTTAAGGAACACAGTTTTAAACTAGAGCTATTTCAGTCACATATCTGATATAGATTAAAAAGATAACATTAATAATGACTTCTGTAACATCAGCAGTCTCTCACACATATTCTGTACACATAATGCAGTATATAAAATGCAAAAATGTACCTCTAATTGCCTGAGAGTTTGATATCAAGACAAACACTTTTATAAATGCAAGGCACAAAGGTGTGTAGTCGTGCTCCCAAATAACAGCTGGAATTAGCAGGAGCTTTCCATAGGTGGACAACAGCAGTGCTTTGAGAAGTAAGATGAAGTCAGACTTTCTTTTCAGCATCTCAGGTGTCATCCACCACAAGGTAATGAAAATACCAATGAAAAATGAAGTTTGTTCTGAAAGGAGATAAGAGGTGTTGGAAAGAGAGAACAACGTGCCAAAAATCAAGTCCAGATCTGAATGAATTTCAGTAAAATGACATGTCCCAAATGCAATAGAGTCACTTTTTAAAAGCCACAGGCAAATGTTCTCTATCTCCTGTGTTCATTTTAATAGCCAAATATTCCTTAAACCAATTCAGAATCATGACATTCAGAATAATTCTATCACAGGATTCTATCTGTAGGATTATCATATTTGTGATTTCTGACTCCATATAGGGCAGGAAGTTAAGCACAAGAACCTCTTCACTTTCACTTTTTAGCAACGAGAAGGGTTTTTTTTCAACTGTCTGTTAGGCTGTAAAACAAAATCAATCCTTCTTTGCAAAAGGTCAGCAGCAACAAACCCTTTTCATACAGCATGAGAAAGGACACCAAGGTGAAAATACCTTTGAGCTACCAGACTTTTTTTGACACCACTCCTGTGATATGCTGGCATTAATGCAGATGTCAAAGAAACTCCCACAATAATGGTAATAGATGAGTCACTACTGAAAAATAAGTTCAATATTTTTACTGACATATTATAAAAACCCACTTAAAACAACATTAGACAATAAAGGATTTAAATTAAGCTCTGAATGTGTAAGAAAAATACTAGTTTTAGTGTGCAAGTTTGACTTAAACACTATCATCTGAAAAAGTATGAGAAAAAATGTTTTAACCTGCATAGAACAAAACCTCTTCCCTGCCTTCAAGTACAGTCTTAGAATACACTGGTCTTGGAATACACTGCTCTGTATTTCAGTTTATTTGTTTAAAAAAACAACCCCAAACACATACAAGTTTTCCCATTTTTTACTTGAGTAAGGTTGTATCACCTTAATGAATAATAAACCTTGAAGTCAACATGAAGCATGGAATAAGGCTGAGCTTTACATTGATCTTCAAACTATGTCAAAAGATATCAGGCAAAGATTTCTGAATATTGCCACTTTTCAGTCTCTTCATATCTAATGCTGATCATATCAGTCTGAACTGTAATCAGGACAGGTATTTCCATTAAAAGCAGGCAAATTAGAGTATGTGTGTAATTGTTTAACCATACTGGGTTGGACACCACATCCATTCTCTATCAGTTTTTGCAGTATGGGCTTGAAGTTCTTCGGTGCATAAAGAGTATATAATACAAATCACCAATCTTACCTAAAGAAGCTATGCCAAACATTCTGTAAAAATCCCATTCTTTGGCATATCTGATTAAGTCATCAGGATCTGTATTTTGGCTTGAATCCTGTAGTTGCAACCACCTGATATAAGCTTCACAGAGCAAACAAAATACGCAGAGCTTCCCATGAATCTGGTAAATGAAAGAATAATAAAAGGAGTACTATTAAATCAGCATTAATTAAAAGTATTAGTAAGAAATCAGCATTTAAAAAACATTTAAACACCTCAACACAAACTCTGTAGGTGTATTACTTTTCTTTAGCATATAAACAAAATTACTTCTGCTGAGGCACTAATTTATCACATCATCCTTTTAACATCTGTTAGCATAATAGTCAAATTATAACATGCACAAAACTGCATCAACAGTTCTGTACAGAAGAAGGTATATAACTGTGCTTAAGGCCTGATTGGGAAGGCTATTCAGCTAGGAATGAAAAACCAAAATTGTACCATTGCTAGCATAGAATTATATTATCTAAAATTTCTGTTTAAGGGCAACTACTCTATTCAGCAAACTGGTTTAAGTAGCCTTGTTTCTCTTTTTCCCTGGGACAATCTCCATTAGAAGAAACTGGTGGTGTAGTTATACCAAAATATTTCTTACCTCATATAAGAGTGAGGCACCAAAAATAAAGGTAGCAATATAACCAAACAAAGCTATTTAAAATATCTTCTGAAGTGACATCAAAAATTATGTTGTGAGGGCTAACAGTCAGCATGTTTCCACATTATATAGTCTGTAAGCCAGTGCATATATGAGGTGATTTCTGGTTTTATACATATTTAAACAAGCCATAACAATTTCTGTGCTGGATTCTACTTTTTCTATTGGAGGAAACAGTTATGTCAACTGCACATAGATGCATAGGCTTTGCCAGTTTAAAATTCAACTCAAATTATTTTAATAGATGAACTTTTCACAGACAGTCCTTGCAGAAGCCTCACAGGAAACATCATTACAAGTCTCCAGAAGCACTGAATTAATTAAAAACATTTAGATAGATTTATGCTTGAAAGATGAAGCGAGTGTATTTATCTACACTGCTTAAACTGAACTGGCTAAGAGGTACCAACATGAACACAGCACATACTTATGCTCAGAGATTTTGCTCTAGATTAGCTTCCCTCTCCTGGGAAATCAGTCCTTACAGTAAAAATATGCAATACTAAAACACTGCACCTCCAGACTGGCCAGCCCAACTATGTAATTCTGCATCAACCACAATTCAAGTGAAAGCACCAACTTTTGCTCTGGCTTTGAGGACATGATTAATTACACAGAAAGAAACTTGTGAGAAATTAGTACAGTATGTTTAACTGGCACAGTATTGTTAATTTGGTATGTTATACTCCTATTGCTCGTTTGAAAAAGAATTGTTTCCAACAGAAATTCAATTTGAAAATTAATCTGCAATTAAGTCTTTCTCTTCCAGTGGAATTTAGCACATCATCCTTTTAGCATCAATGAACATGATAGGCAGGTTAGAGGTTAAATAGAAAACTGCATGAACCAGTTATATGATGAATAGAGCACATGGAATCTCAAACTCCCACTGTTAATGAGACAGCTTGTGTCTTCACAGAAGTGATGCTGCAATATCAGCAAATACAAAGTCATCTTACATGTTGAAGAGAAGGAACTGCAAAGAACTGTTCATGCAGTTTTCTATTTAACCTCTAACAGTCTTTAAAGTTTTATAACTAATACAACAGACTTAACCAAACCTAAATATATTTTTAACAAAAAAGCCACAAGGTAGGGACATAGCAACTTACATTTATCTTTGTGTTGAAAAGAATGTGCCTGTATGCTTGTGCTTTGCATAAAACAGCATTAATCAAGATGATAACAGGATCATACTCAATGTATTTATCCACAGGTTTCTGGCAGGATTTCTGAAAATCACAAAATAAGAAGAATTAGGGGGAAAAAAAGGAAAGGAAGAGTTTATAAAATTTTCCTCTTATCTTAGTACAACTGGATAAACACAAATTAGCAATTCAATTATAAGAAGTTTTTCCCTAATGTCATCTTCATTTTCAATAGTTTTAATCCATCCAGAAAAATGGCTTCTTCTCCCTTGACACTACACTTGACACACAGAGTTCCCTTATAAAATAGAAAGATTTATTATTGATTTTTACAGGCTTTGGATTAAGATCGATAATGAAATATGCAGGAATAGACTTAGTTATCATTTTGTGCTCCACAGATGCAAAAAACTAAACTACTTTCCTAAGACTCAAGAAATGCACCAGTATCATGCTAAAGGTTAACTGATCATGGCTCATCTGCATATTTGGTGTTATTTTGGGTATTTTTAGAAAGAAAAATAATTTCTTCTATCAATTCTTTATTTTCAGAGATGCTTTATCCTCCTATCCTATCCTATCCTATCCTATCCTATCCTATCCTATCCTATCCTATCCTATCCTTTTTCTTTCTTTCAAGGAGACAGTAAATGTTTTTTGCTGTTGCATTGTTCTTCCATACTGTTAAATTGTCTGGATGTTTCAACCAGTTTTCCATCATTAAGCAAACACCAATACATTCAGAATACTGATAATGTAGTTTTCACACAGACCCACAGCCAAAGAGTCAGTTGCCACTAAGCAGTGATAGAGCACTAAACCATCACTTCTCCAACACATCTGTTAGAGAGGTTATTTCACCCAGACCACTGGGAACTGCTTGTCATCAATCCCTTCCAGCTTTATTGACTTACCTGCCTGGCTGATTGAGCTAGGGCTAATAAGAGGCTGTTATACTGTGAGCAGGGGGGTTAAATAACCTTACAAAAGGTTCATCTAGCAGACCTAAGGGGCAAGGAAGTAACTTCTAGCAGTGAGCTGAGGAGCAGCAGAGCAGCAGCAGCCACCACTTCAGTTCAAACAATTGCACTTGCAGCAGGTTGCTCTCCTGCAGGCCAGCTTTCTCCTGCTGCTAATCCTCCAGTCTGGTTCCTCCAAGCTGTCCTCAGCTAATCTTGGTCCCCCAGGCCTTCACATTAGCTGCCATGCTGAGAACACAAGAGTCACAGAAATTATCTGTATTTCCATTTTAATGAGTGCATGGTGGTGCACTGCCAGAAGAAAAATGTTGGCACACCACCTTCTGAAGTGCTGGAACAGTCAAAAATGCAGCATCAGACAACACACACCTCCAGACAAACTCCCAGGACAGAACATATAGGTTTTTCAATTTTCATTTTTCTGTCATACAAAGACCAACTAAGTACCACACTGCTGCTCACTCACCCTGCAATAGGATGAGGAGGAGACTCAGAAGAAGGTAAAACCCATGGGTGGTTAAAAGAATAGTTGAAATAAAGCAAAATATAATAATAATAATAGTAATGAAATGGAAGATAATAAGAGGGAGATAATGCCCAGAAGAAACAAGAGCTGCACAACATGGTTTCTCACCAGCCACTGACCAAAGCTCATTCCATCCCTGAGCAGTGATCAGCCCCTCCTGGCCAACTCTCCCAGTTCATTTACTGGGCAGGACACTCTGTGGGCTATGGAGTATCCCAGTTTGGGTCAGCTCTCCTGCCTTTGCTTCCTCCCAGCTCCTTGTGCACCTGCTGGCTGGCAGAGCATGGGAAACTGAAAAGTCCTTGGCTTGGGGTGAGCACTAATAGCAACAACTAAAACATCAGTGTGTTATCAACATTATTCTCATTCTGAATCCAAACACAGCACTCTATCAGCTGCTAGGCATAAAATAAAACTAGCCAAAACTAGGATGGTGTCTAAAGTTAACACTGTCTTGCTATTTAACAGAATCATTTTTGTAGAATCTGAGAACGCAGAATTTCACCAGCAAATTGACTCAGAAGTCCAGCATCAATGTCAAGGAAAGCATCTGAACAAAAGCATAAACTGAAGAGAGTGTCTAGTGAATGCTGCAACCTATAATCAGTGTTTCTTTGTCCAGCTTAAGGAAAAAACTCATTTCAGTAAGACAACACTGTGTATGACAGTACACAGGTTGGATGTAATGAATTAAAAAACTCCCTCAACTAACCAAGAGTCTGAGAAATCTAAAAATAAAGTGAATTAGATGGAAAAAGGACATAACACAAGACCACAGTTATAAGATTTAATAGAGTGAAAAAGAAATTGCTGCTTTAATTAGAGGCAGTGTCTTGCTTCATTTCTTTCTACTGGGAAATCATAAACAGATATTCTTATAGGTGGTGATTTGCATATGTCAAATCTCTGGGTTGATGTAGCATCAGACAAGTGCAATTTTTTTAATAGGTTTATTCACACAAGCACTGGACAAGTCCATTCAGACTAAGATAATTCAACACAATGGGTGTCATAAAGGTTAGATGAAGGGTATCCTACGCACACCCAGTTTTATTATGCTCTCAGATTCTCCTACAACAGAACATTTTCTGACCAGGACCAAAAATCTTTCTGAGTAAAGAATGGTATTTTCAACTGAAAGATCCCAATCAAACACTAATCAAAAAATTTGCAGTTAAGAGGTATTGAAAAATTTTCACTGACAGCTGACATGAATTTTAGACAATGAAAATTTATCAGACCCACCATCCAGGCAAAACCAACAATTCAGAAATTTACTGCAGATATATACAGAGACTGCTACAAATGAATACACAAATAGTGGTGTCTTCTGCCCCACAGCTTCTGGCAGCCAAATACCAAACCTTCTTTGCAGCTGTGAAAATTATGTTAAATTTAGTATTTCTGTCTTCTAGAGTAAGACGAGAGCCCCATTCTTAGTATATATTATATTCCTAAGATACTTTATTTCTATCTGAGTCTCTGCTGCAAGAAGGAAAAGTCCTCTGTGCTTACCCAGCCAGTGACCTAGCCAGCATGAGTTCACCCAGGGATTTGTGAGACCTACAAACCACCTTTGCTGCAAAACACTTGTGTGTGCACTGCTACAGACTAATTGGATGATGGCTGATGTACCATTAGTACACTACAGAACTAATATTCCCTCTAGGAAGAATTTTTTCCATATCTGGCTATTTCATTATTTTTTCCAGCTACACAACTAAAACATCTGATACCAACCTCAAATGCCTAGGAAGAAAACCTGTGAGTGAAGCCTGACTTCAGCAAAATCAGTGCAAGCAAGGACTGATGCAGTTTAATACACATATGTTTCACTAGATAGTTTCAGCTAGTTAAAGGGATGTAACTTTGGGGACACTGATAATCACTAACACTTTGAGAGAAGATTGGTATGAACAGCTCAGCTATGGAGAACTGCTTGCACTTTTAAGATTTTAGTCAGGCAATTTAACTCCAATCCTGGTGCTCACATCTCGTTCTCCACTGCTGTTCTGCACAGCTCTAGTCAGTGTCCTGGGCAAGATGAGTGAAGAAGGCACATCTTTGACATACTGAGCTTTTTCATCTTCTTTGGACTTTCTCCAAGATGTGCCTCAGTTATCACAAAAGCAGTAAAAAGAGGTAACTGGATTTCTCCACGCTTTTAGCCATTTTTCAACTTCTACCTTAACTATGTAATTGGCATCAGAAACAAGTAACTGGTAATTTTTTCTTGAAAAAATAGACACTACTTTGATTAAAAGGTACTTTTAAATTACGTGTCAGAAGGAAAGTCAAGCTTCACACCATAAACTCTATTTGCACACCTTCTGATTTGGTAAATGTAAGGAACATTATGAGTATTTGATACTGACATACAAAAGTCCACAGATACTGTGCTCCCCTAAAAAAGGATGTTAAAAGTATATCAATATTCTAGTAAATTTAAATGGCTATTACTTTAAGAACTGTTTGACTAATCAAATATTTAGGAAGATTTGACTATGCTTGTTTGTTGTTTAAAAAAAAATCTTCCATTTTCATAAATTAGAAGTTTGCTTAGTTATCTTAAAGAAATTTAAAACCAATTAGCAAAGGCAAATTAAAGAAAAAACTTCAAAAGTGAGCACAACCATCTTCTTCATAGTGTAGTATATGAGATTCTTTTTGATCAAAGCAATCCAAAACATTTAAGGAAAGTAACATACATTTTAAAGTCTCAGTTGTATTAAATATGACCAAAAAAAACCAAAGTACTGATATGTTAATTCAAACTTCATGTCTATCAGGCTTTTATAAATCACTACTCAAAAGACATAACTCTTGCTTTGTTGATCAAAGATACTCAGCTTGGAAACAGTGTTCACAAATGTGTGCCCAATACAATACAGTATACAAATATTTGAGAAACACCTTCTGTCTCTGAAGGATAAAGTTTCTAAAGTATATGAACATGACTTTTTTTGGATTTACCTCTCTAATTTTAAAACATTACTTATTTTTAAATACAAATATTTTGGGATGGGGTTTGTGGAAAGTAAAAGAATTCTTGAAGAGGAAGCCATAGGACATGACAGAAAGTAAAAATATACACTGAAGAACAAAGCTTCATCCTGATCTAAAACTACCATGAAAACCACACCAGGAATACATTTGCAAATCTCTGGGCATTAGAAATATCAATGAAACAGTCTTATTATAGTATTCCTTTCTCCAGGGTTTGGACTTTGGCAAAATTAAGCTACAATTTTTTGCTGGACTACACATACAGCAAATTGTAACAACATTTACATAGCTTCCACATGAACAGAGGTCCATTTGCATAGGTTCATAGGCAAATTAAAGACTCTTGTGAGAGTGCCCTTAATCCCAATTGCACCCTTAAATAATAAAACACATTAGCTGTGCTGCTTTCAGGGATGGATTCTTTATTAGGGATGCAGCCAAGTGTCACAGTAGACTGAAAAACAAAACAGCCCAGTTTCAGATGCATTCCATTTCAGAAAACAAATTAAAAATATTTTTTTTTCCAGTAGTGAGTTGGTCTGTAAACAGAGTTATGTAAAATTAGCATATATTATTTTCCAGGATGATCTTTGTACTCCTGACAGATTCTTTACCATGCCACATAAATGCTTTGCATTCAAAGCAAGGTCTCTCTGCCTTGCTGGAAAAAAAAAAAAAAAAGAGCTTTTCAATTATTTTTTAATTGCAGAAAAGCTAAATGAAGTGTGCACTGCTCAGGCAATTTAGCTTTCTTATTACAAAACACAAGGGGGATCCTGACTGTGCTCTATATATTGCAATAAGTAATTTATTTTCCTTTGTTATAGTCTGGAACATTTTTAACATTTTATTTTTAAACATAACAACATATATGAAATTGAAAACAAAATTTTAGAAATGTTTGCATGCTTTTCCTTCCATTTCTGAATAAGTGAAGTTTGCTAATTTCTTTCTGTAATCATTGCACTTCACAGTTTATTTCAGGTTAGCCAATCGTGCTCCCACCCCACGCCCCAGAATTATTACTGTAGTAGCAGTGTTATTTGAACACTATTTTTTCCTTACTGTTCTTGCTGGTTTGTAATACATTTAGTGAAGATTTGCTGTATTATTTACAGATCAATTAAATTTTAAGGGTCTCAAAATAATTAGGGAAAACCTTTTCTAGAAGGAGCCACCTAGGCTTACCTTCACAATCATTTGTCACTGGAAATAGGGAACACATCAGTCCATTACAGATTAGGACTAAACCCAGACCCAGGAGATGCAAAGTGAGTGCCAAGCCTCACCTCCACTGTGGGCAATCCTAACGTGCCCACAGATTCCACACCCTCCCAGCCACTCCTCAGTTATCACACTGAACAAAAACCATATTGAAGAGCTCCATCTGTCTCTTGTAATGCTACTTCCACAGCTAAGTACATGCAGGATGAGAAAATGGCTCATCCACTAAATGTGCAATGCCAGAGGTCTGGGCTAGGCTTCAGCTGAAAATGGCCTTAATTAAACAAAACAGACTTAAAAAGAAGTTACAGAACTTGAGGAATTTGTGGCAGTTAGCCACCTTGCAGAGTTATTAAGACACTACCTTTCCAACCCAAGTGTACTGTGTGGACTTCTATGTTTTATAGAAGAAAGTTTCTTTAGTTCCTTCAGCATCTATTACAAATTTATTCCCAGAGTGGATAATAACACTTATGAGGTCTTTAATGCTTGCCCACATTAAAATTACAATATGGAGTTCAAAGAAACTTTTAATTATATTAAGAGCAGTAAACTAAAGTAAAGCAACATTAGGCTGAATTTCCAAAATTGTACTCTAATATTGTGGGCTGGAAACACATGTTCCTTAATGAAAGCTTTTAGTATTTGCCTCTGGAAAAAAATTCATTCTTCTCTTCAACAAATTAATAACAGAATACAAAATCATGGTATTTTGCTTAGGCATTCAAATTTAAATCTTCCACCTCAAAATCACATACAGATCAGGTTAAACACATCCTGAAATAAATGCAGGGCTAGATAGAAGTTGCTGCTGGGAGAACTTAGCTTCTTCAATCTTGAGATAATGTTCCAAAAAGTGCTGAATGACAGGGTTGTCCCAAGAATGGCAAAGACCGTTTAGATGCAGATTTCTTAATGTATCAAGGATGACTTTAAAAGAGTGCTGGGGAAAGTCTCTAGGTCCCTATGAAACAGTGATGATCTTGACAATGTTCTGTTTGTTCCCAATTTTCTGGGGCCCTCTATTTTACTTACCATATGGAACAAATGTTGGGCTGTTGTCTGGCTTTTTCCTTAAGGTGTCAGTGTTTCCAGGTACTACTTGAAAATGGGAGTGAAACACAAGTGCTTTTTAACAAAAAAAAAAAAAAAAAATCTAGATTATGCCCACTGGCCTCACTTTGAATATCACTACACAATCTTCCTATGAATTTTTCACTTCTTCTTTCTTAATGCTACAGTGGAGTAGCAGTACTCAATGCTCTCACTCCATGAAGACAGATGAAAAATGTTCTCAGGCTGAGTGATCACACCTTCTAATCTCACCTCAGACTTTCAATTTTTCTTAAATACCTTCAGCTTTCCTTAAGTTTTTAGAGGCCTACACTCTAAGTTTTATATATAACTGATATAAATGATGTTTCACACTGTTAAGTGGGGTCTTCATATATTTTTAAGTGCAGACTTCTAAGCTATCATTATTTTCAGGTTTGATCATCAAGAAGATTCATAACACTGCCACACTCATATCCCTACTCATGAAAGTCTGTGAAGGGTATCAAAGGACACTCAGTACTTGTCTATTTTTCGTTGTCAGCAGCATGATGATGAACAACTTTCCAGGTCTCTGGCCAGAGCACAGGCTTGCCTGCATGGAACAGAATGCCTGCAGAGAGCTGGAACAGTGACAAAACCATCCTTGCAGATGAAAAAGTAAACCAAGCACTGCTCTACTGGTAACCATGGGGACAACAGTAGGGCTTTCCTGCCCAAAGTCACATCAGTTCAACTGAAAGAATCTTTTGATCTTGGCAATCTTTCAACATTCTCATCTCCACTTCATGTGCCATGAGCTAACATGTTTCCTGCTCTCAGCACTGCCAGAGTGGCCAGAAATTGAAGGAAAGCTTTATGATAAAAAATGTGCCATGTAAGAGCAACTAGAACTGAACCTGAACCATGCTGACTCACAACAGAGCCAGAGCAAACAGACTGGTACGAGTCAGTGAAAAATGGTACAGATCTGGGTCTGCATGGAGAAAGGTGGACAGAATTCCAGATTGCTAGGAATGTGTGATTCTTTGCTCTTTCTTTTACTCAATTTGTTACTCTTTTTATATGAGTTTAGCATTTGTGATGAATACAGCAACTGGGACTTAAGTCTTTGATTCTACATGGCATGCCACAGCTCCAACAGCTCCAACAGACCAAGACCTTTGGTCCTCAAATGGTTAAATGCCAAGGGGAATGAGTGCCATCTACTGGCTTCCAGGTTGCCTTAAATCTGTTTATTAGCACTAAATTAATAAGCAAGAGAAGTTGTAGATTTCAATGAGGTGTCCCCTCAGCCTCCTCTTCTCCAGGCTGGAAACACCAAGTGACCTCAGCTGCTCCTCATATGGCTTCCCCTCTACATCCTTCATCAGCTTTGTGTCCTCCTTTAGATGCTCTACAACAGCTTTACATCTTTCTTACTCTGCTTTGCCCAAAACTGCCCCCAGCACTCGAGGTGAGGCAGTGCAGAGCAGAGCAGCACAATCCCCTCCCTTGCCTGGCTGGTGATGCTGTGCCTGATGTCCCCCAGGACAGGGGTGGCCCTGCTGGCTGCCAGGGCACTGCTGGCTCATGTTCAACTTGCCACTGACCAGGACTCCAGGTGCCTTTAAATAACCATCACTCAGACCCTGACATTCAGGCCCAGTGGCACGGGAGCTGTGTTCAGCCATGGAGCCATGCTCAGATCTGCCCTTCAGCAAGAACCAGGCTGAGCACACTCAGCAGCAGATGCACTACAGTGCCAGTCAGGACAGCTCCAGCACACAGGGGCACTCAAGGAACAGGAGGAAATGACATTGGGAAGCAGAGCAGACAGAAAACCTGCAGTCACAGAATGGGTCAGCTTGAAAAGGACCACACGGGGTCATCTGGTCCAACCTCCCTACTCAGGCAAAGTCATCCTAGAGCACCCGGCACAGGATTGTGTCCAGAGGGTTCTTGAACATCTCCAGTGAGGGAGACTCCACAACCTCTCAGGACAATCTGCTCCAGTGCTCGGTCACCTGTACAGTGAAGAATTTCTTTCTCAGATCCAGGCGAAACTTCCTGTGCATCAGTATCTGCCCGTTGCCTCTTGTCCTATTGCTTGGCACCACCGAGAAGAGCCTGGCTCCATCCTCATGACACCCTCCCTTTAGATATTTATACTCATTGATGAGACACCCTCCCTTTAGATATTTATACACATGGATGAGTCCCCCTCTCAGCCGTCTCTCCTCGAGGCTAAACAGGCCCAACTCTTTCAGCCATTCCTCACAGGTCACCAGGATTCAGGGAAAGCGGCCACAATGCGCGGGTACGGCTGCAGGGGGCGCTCCAAGGGGCTCAGCCGCCCGCGTGCCACCGGGCCCACTACACGTGCCGCGCGCCGCCGCCTGCTGACGTCAGAGCTTCCACGTGCATTCCTGGCCTCCCCCCACCCACTGCTCGCAGCCCCGACTCACGCAGATGGAGATACGGAGCACCCCGCGCTGATAGTCCCGGTACAGCTCCGTCGCCTCCCCGTTGCACTCGATACAGCGGTAGGCGCCGAGCGCCGCCATGGCGCGCGGGAGCACGCCCAGCCCTGTCAGCGCTTCCACACCGCCTCCTCGTTTCCGCGTTCGGGAGCGCGGCCGAGCCAGACCGCGCCGCACTGCATCCCGGGAACTGTGGTTTTCCTGCCGCTGCCGCACGCCCGACTGCGCCGATGGAGAACTCTATGTCCCAGGGGGCAGTGCGACGGCGGCCCCGTGGGAGGGGCGGCGGGGACACCCCGTGTCCCCGGGCGAGGCGGCGCACATGCGCGCCGTGAAGATGGCACCTGCCGGCGGGCTAGCGCGGGGTCCGTGGGTGCCGCTGGCCGTGCTGGCCGTGCTGGCCCCGGCCGCGCTCGCCCTCACCGAGCGCTTCCCGGCGCTGTCCCTGTTCCAGCAGGAGCGGCACCGGCAGCGCCACGGCCCGGCGGGGGAGTGGGCGGAGCAGTACTCGGCCGAGTGCGGTGAGTCAGGGGCGTCGCCGCCGTGACCGCCCGCAGCCCGGGGCGGCGGTGCCGAGGCCGCGGGGGCGGCGGTGCCGCTGGGGGCCCGGGGCGGTGCGGGGTGCCGGCGGCCCCCGGGCTGTGCCGCCGCTGCCCTCGGCTGGCTCACGGCGAGGCTGCCCGAGGGTGAGCGGCAGCGCCGAGCCCGCCGCGCCGGTGTGTGGCGCGGAGCCACAGGGGCTGTGGCGGCAGCGAGCCCGGGAATACCTCTCATCCCTGGGACGGGCAGACCTTGGGTACCACACGGCAGGATCCCTGCTGCCCATTCACCTCCCGAGCCCGGCAGCTGGACTCTGCTGCTTTTTCATTCCTGAGCTCAGTAGTATGGGGATACGCCTGTACTCCGTGCTTGTATTACTGAGTTTCTTCGTACAAGGAGCTGCCGGAGAGGGTCCAGGGGATTGGAGCGTCTCTCACGAAGAGAGAGACTGTGGGAGCTGGGCCTGCTTAGTATAAAGGAAAGAAGACTGAGAGGGAATCACATGAAGGTGTCAAGAGTATGGTGCCAGACTTCTTAGTGATGCCCAGAGACAGGATGAGGAGCAGTGAGCACAAACTAAAATACAAGTTCCAGTTCAACTTGGGGAAGAGCTACTTTGTATGAGGGTGTCAGAGCACTTGGAACAGGCTGCCCAAGGAGCTTGCAGGTTTTCTCTCTCTGGAGACATTAAAAACCTACCTGAATGTGTTCTTGTGTCACCTGCTTGAGGTGATCCTGCAGGAGGGTTGGACTGGATGGTCTCCACAGGTCTCTTCCAACCATATCAGTTCCGTGTTTCAGTGAGTGAGATGTGGCTCGATTTCATTTCAGCTACAGTTATATCTATTTACTGGTGACCTGGATGCTTCTCTTAGGAATGCCAAGTTTGGATCGCAGATCTTCTGCTATTTTTCAAGTTAATTGATGTCTTGTAATACAGGCATATTTAAAACTATTTTTATCTGCTTGAATATCTTTTGTATCTGGATCATGTGGTTTAATGTGTTGTGATTGTTGATCTTGAGCATGGAGTGAATTGAGCCATACACAGATGCCAGTCTGAATCGCAGTGTGCACACAATGCAGATGAAGAAAAAGGTCTATCAGTTGCTTGGAATGTGATACTAAATTATGTATAAGAGACTAACCAGTGATGTGTCATGACATCTTAGCTGTCAGCATGGTTTTGTGATTGTTTTTCCTGCCCTTTATTTTGTAAAGCCTGTGCTCATATCAGCAATTCCCGTGGTCCCTAACAACTAATATAAAATTAATGTAATCCACTTGAATAATAGACTTTGTGGAAATAACTTCTTATGAGCTTCCTGCACCTGGATTTTTGCTTTCTCCCCTCCCTTCTGTATGTGCTTTTGTCTTCACATTATAAAGTTCTTTGGATAGTCTTTATCACCTTTTTGTATGTGTGTGTGTGTGGCTACAGTGGCTGAGAGCCATAGTACCTAAAGGTGAAACCAGCTCTTGAAAGTTATCTCAGGTAACCGTTGCTACAAATTATTCAAGGTTAAGCATAAAACAAGAAGACTTTCACCGACTGTTGAGATAAAAATCTGTATACCCTACAAGTTAATAAATGGCAAAGTACTTGATTACATCTGTTACTAGACCTGACATGAATGATTGACTCAAGGCACTCCTTCAGAGGTGGAATTGGAAGATTAGATTTTGATGTAACAGCGGATGTTGTTTTAAAGAAACCAGTGTAACTAGGATTGGTACAAAGAGTTCTGCTTGAATCATCAGGTATCCCAGGTACCTTGCATGCACTGGTAGTAAGATAGGCCTTACTTACAGAACAACTTACTTACTTTCAAATAGCTGTATACCAATTCACTCCTTGCTGTTTACGTGCTAGGACTAAATGAATTGCCAATTGAAAAATGAATTCCCTTGAGCTCTCAGTCTTTGTTTTAGTACAACTTGCACAGAAGCTGAGATTTTTTTTGGTCTCAAATAGTTTTCCCTGTACTCTAATAAAAGGTCCAAAGTACTTTCTCTGGTTGGTGTTTCTGAAAATGAAGAAAACTTCATTTTCATGAAGTTGTTAATGTGGTTCAGTTTTGGTTTCTGGTTTCTATAGATGCATAGATCTATAGATGCATGTGTCTGACTTGCAGACAAAGGCAGATCCACTTCTCCATATGAGTAAAGCAGTTGGTTGCCCCAAGAACTGCGAGATTTGAGGGAGTTGTAGCTTGTATCAAGCTTGTGGCTTGGCTGTCTTATTCCCTACCACCTTACAAAAAATTATTTCAGTAAATCCTTGCTGTTGTGAAGAAAATTATTCCAGAGGTAGGCCATGCCTGTGCCTCTTTGTTTTGATGTCTGAAGCAAAAGTTTCTTGTTGAGTCTGCAGCCAGAACTCTGAAGTTACTGAATCACAAGCACCAACAGGAACAAGTAATGTGTTAATAACGCTGGCGTAGCACAGGAGTGTTTGACCAATGTGAAGAACAAAGGGCAGTGATGAAACCTCATGCTGGCAGAGCTCCTTTTGGAAACTAGGAGTGGTTTGCCACTGTTCTCACAGGACTGACTTTAAACTTTGAACTTATGCTTTTTACCACCCTTGCTTTTGTTGTAAAACTTCTCCCACTGGTTATCATTTATGGCTCAACGTAGATCCAAGTTCCTATTTACAGGGAATTATTTTAGATGCTTCCTTTATTTCACTTTACAAGAAGACTGTTTCTTTTTCTTTTTTAGCTCTGTGCTTATGAGAGATAGAGAATTAATTAACTACAATCCTTAAGAAGTCAAAATATAAGAGCACACCCTGCCCCCAGCCTTTCAAACTTAGCATCAAGTTTAGATTTACAAACATCAAGGGAATTGATAAAATTTGGTATTTGTGACATGGTTTCAAGGAGATAATGCTGTATATTTGCTTTTTCTTGTTTATTCTTGAAATATTTAAGGATGATAGAAGCTCTAGGTTCCAAAGATTTGAAAGTTAACAATTCTATTGGAATAACAATTAAAAGCATCATGTAGAGGAAGTAGTGGTTTCTGTATCTTGTTTGATATCTTAAACTGTTTCTCTGCTATGCCAAAAAGCTGTGTTTGACTTTTAGGAGAAATGAATCAGCCTTAGACTTTTTGAAATGACATTCTTAGTAGCTTACCTTTATATGTGTTTGGTCAATTACAGTTCATTATTCTGACTGCTTTTTGCAGTCCTTATACCTCTGTTTTCTGCAGCTTTTCCCCTACGTCTTTGTGGTCCATTCCATTTATTTCCCTCTCTGGGATTGGAATGAATTCTGTATGCTACTTTTTGGATGAGAGAATGGAATCATAATGCTGAAAGAAGACATGCCTACCCCAAGCCCTTGTTGCTTCCAGCTTCCTCCTTTTTCACCTCTGCCCCATTTTTTTAGCACCTCTTTTTATTAATCTATTTATAACCAGAACCATAAACATAAGTAGGGATAAAACTAATTAGATGAAGCTTTCATGTCAGCTATTGCTTCCCTGGCTCTGTGGGTGTATTGCTATCGGCAGAGAGCACTTCATGAAAGTTCTGCCCTGTGGGATGCCCTGTGGGGAAGCTGTTCAGCCAAACATGAGGAAATGTGAGACATGATAATAGAACCTATACATAAGTCTATGAGTTCCTAAAAGTATTTTCTCTCTCTTCTCCCAGATTCATCATTTTTGCACTTCCATGAATCGGATTGTGACATAGGAGGATCTTCGTCCTGTGAATCTATACTTTCCTTGAATACAGAAAAAATTCTGGTATGTTATCAAGAATATAGTGTACCAAATAATTTTACTAGATTGTTGAAGGTGCAGATCACTTCAGCTGCATAACTAATTAGAATGAAGTTGAGGGAAATAAATGCAAATAGATCTATTAATCAGTAGGCATAGCTGCCCAAAAGGCTTAAGTATGAATAAACTGGGGGAGTGTGTAAGCAATATTTTAACTGGAAGCAACTTCTCCAAAGGTGGCTCTTGGAATTAAAACTACTATACTGCAAATCCACTAAGCCAATTGTTTAACTTGAATGTTCTCCTTAGACTTCATCATATATTGGTCAGAAGATATTTCTAGTCTTGTCCAACAGTACCAGCAATTCTTTCTAACACAGTGAAATGTATATTTGTTAGAAAGAAATTTCCCTGTAAAAAAAAAAACAAAACAGTTGTTTTCAAGAGAGCAAGAATTAAACCTGTTGGGACATGGTGCTATGATGAAAATTCTCCTGTTCCTTGCAGACAGAATGACTCACATTTTTTGTTTGTAGAGTTGCAGGATGTTTAACCTTTACCTGAATTCAGTTTGTTGAGGTGTGAAACCACTTTCTCTGCCACCCCAACGGTTCTGTTACTCTGTAATGACAAAACAGATGAGGTAGTGGTACTTCTCTTGCTGTCACATGCAGCTCAGTAATCCGTAGGAAATTATTCTAATGTATTTTGAGATTCTTCTGCTCAGGGCTTATTTTCCAATACCAGTGTGGAATCTGGCTATATCTTTGTCTGCAGACAAAGATGTGTAGATCTGTTTTTGTAAATCCATCAAGGAAGAGATTGTCCTTCAGTAAAAATGTTTTTCCTAATATTAAGACGATTATAGAAGAATAATGTTTTCTGGAGTTAAGTGTTAAAGGTAATTTTCTGAATATTGCATGAAGGCCATTGGTGATATGAAAACATTGTGTTTGTAAATGCACATGGATTGCAATGTAGATTTAGTTTTCTTATTGTTATATCTGTTGTACCCTGCTCATTTTTGTGCTGTTTTATTAGTGGTTTTT